AAATATTAAGCAGTACGGCCTTTTTGTGTCAATAGTTTGAAGGCGGCAGAGTTGAGATAAAGTTTGTGAAAATATCATGATGCCCAGCACCAATAACGATTTCCCGACATCGGAGTCCAAGTCTAATGGCAGTTTGTGGGTTGTTTGCTGTCAATTTCAGGCTCCTATCAATCAAAGCACACCCACAGATGATAAAACAGTTATGAGCTTAGGAGGGTTAAGCTGACGCACACACACAGCAAGTAAATCAGCTCCTCCAATAGAGGAACGCCATTAAAAATGGGAGATTCTTGTTACTTTCCTTACACTTCTAGAAAACAAAATATCCCATTGGGGAAGGTGGAAACAGAGCATGGTTGGTTTTTTCCTTGAAATGGATTTGGTGACCTATTGTGTGCTCGGCAGGCTAATTAGTTTTTATCTTCTTTTGACAGCCCTGTGGTAGACCTCTCATCACTCACTGCACCTTATGCGATGCCTTTTTCAATTTCTCTGTTTGAGGTTGTTATTGTCTTATTCATTGTTTCAGCTCTTTGAACAAATCTTCCTCACTGGCATCCTCAAGGGCAATGGAGTTGATGTGATCTGTTGCTAGAAATAGGCCAAATGCATCACTTCTGTGGTAGCAGATCACTGAAAGCCTGGCACCCTGCCAGGAACTAAATTGCTGGGTAAGATCATCCCCTTGCGACGACACGACTAAGTATCCTTTCTCAGGTGACTGTCCACAGCTGTCTGATATCATCACACCAATACAGAGGCTGTCTTTTTAACTGCTATTCTAATGTCACATCAAAGTGGAATTCTTAGTTTTAGCTGGTCTAAATCATATGTAATAATACAAGAAATAACTTCTACTGCTTTGACAGAAAGTAATGAAACAGAGAAGGCCAGTGCTGATATTATAGGCTAAATAATCTATTCATTATTCATAAGAGTTGTTTTCCCCTAATGTAACAATTGAGATAATGTATCGTTTATGTCAATTAGGTAGCAAAATATTATTTCTCTTTGGAATCTCAGATATGAGGATTTGCTGCGTTCCTTTCTTTTCTCCTTGATATCACTACATTGGTACATTGTAGACTGATGGTTGAACAAAAGTGCGTCGCAATTTCCTTTGCACTTATTAACTATTATTAATCATCTTATAGCCTCCAGGATTAATTCAATCTACTTAATAACATTCCACTTGTAAATAAAGAAACTGATTAACTGTGTCAGTGTGAAGAAGAAATGAGTTTCATCTCGCTTCAACAAGAGAGACAGATATTGATCATCATTACTATCAGTTTAATGGGTCCAAAAATAGCTTGGGAAGCTCTACTAGGCAAGAATCATATGTCGCTCAGCTTTTACACAACGAGACAAAGGAGAGAGCAGATCGCTCATTAGAGAGAGGACCCAGTTGAGCTCACCACCCCCAGACCCAAACACTCACAGCTTAATGCTGAGGACCATCACGTTATTGTTTAAAGCCTGTTCTAGGTTTTAACATCATTGAACGACAAGGACAGGTGCTCTCTTTCCCAACACTGTGCTCTCTCTTTCTCAGTTGTTGCCTCTAAACCCTGCCTCTCTCACACCATCCATTCCTCTATTAGGTCTGCTGGAGGCAGGTAACTCCCATGGCTAGAGTAGATAACAGCCGCCATTATCAGATTCCCAGCATTAAAAGAGCAGCTCAGTATTGATCGCTGTAGCGCCTGGTTACAACTGCTCTGCCTGCGCGGTGCTACGACAGTCTGGGTATGAGGTCTACCTTCAACCCCACCAACATCTAGCATTTCACGGTGTGATTCATTATTTACATACTAATTACATTTTTAGCTTTGTTGACTGTGCAATAAAACCTTTAGTCAAACGATCACCTGAATGATCACATAAAACAGCATTCCTAATATTTTCCCCAATCCTATCATTCATGAAACTGGAAAAGCTTTCCAAGTCTTGCTAATATGCTAGAGTAGATCATGCTTTCTCTGGTGGGGCATATGGCTGCAATATTTTTTCTCCACTTGAAACTGTTTTGGGTTTGAGCACTTACTTCACCTCGTGAAAATCCAATCTACTCCAACTCTGCCATCTATATCCTTCACCAGATGGTTTTCAGCCTGCCCCTCTTTCACTTTCCAACACTGGCCCATCTCAAGACAGCATTTGAAATTCTCTGAATCCATAAAACACAGCCAAGCCATTTTAGCCTCTTCATCTTTAGTTCCTGGCCATGTGCTGCTACCATGTTATGGTGGGTAGGCTTGAGGAAAGTGTTTGAATTCTGGAAACCGTACTGGTGGAGATTTAGCCCTGGTAGCGTCAACCACGGCAGGCAAACAGCAATATCATTGCTATACTAACGCTATATACCAATTCTCAAGTACACATAACAATAAGACAAGCCCAGGCATGTCTGAGAGCAAGAATGCCTCTGATGATGATTTAGTACAAGAAAGCAGAGTTTACTAGGAAATACAAACCTAACGTGGGAAAAAATACATTTGTTTCAAAAGAAAAATAACAATGATAAAAAACTAAAACTGTCAAGTACAACCAGGCTATGAAGGAGGAGATACTAGCAGCTTGTGATGTGTGACCTAAATGTACACAAATGACTCAGCCAGGCATCGCTAGCTGCACCAGCTGGTGGCACTCCATATGACAGGAAGAGCAAATATGGATGGAAATTACTTGTGTGGATACAAAAAGTTCAAGTCCCAAAGCCCAAGATAAAGAAAATATTAAATTAGGTAAAAAAATATATATATATATATATTTTTCAGTTTTTATTATCGGACAACATTGTTCAGGTTCCTGTCGAGCTACAAGGTCAAGTTATTTTAGTCATTGTTGAACTCCAGTGTTAAGCAGTTTATAGTTTTAATTAAAATACGTTTGTACTCACATTTGACTCCTCTTGTGTCACTATTGCTGGCCCCTTGTTCCAATAGATTAACATTTTAATTAAGTAGTATGTCAGCACTGACAGCTGACAGTAGCTTATTAAAGAAAAAGATGGAAAATGTATTTTACGTCCTTACACTTGCAAATACTGCTGCATTCAGAAGTTGTTGTTTTTTTCCTACATCATGAGATATCGTGATCTAATTTTGAGGCTATACTGCCCAACCCTACATGGGGCTAACAAACCCATCTCCTAAATACTCCACCAAGTTAGTTAGTGTTCTCATTGTAGTTTTTCTAACACAGAGATCCAGAAGGCACTACGAGATCACTACGTCAGCTTTAGATGAACACTTATCTAACGCAAACAGGAGCTCGACAAAAACCCAAATTCACTATGCCGCTAGGAGGATGAGACATGTAACCATGTCTGAAGCATCAAAAACAGCTCAAGGCATCAAGGAGATGAATAGGTATCGGCTGGGCATCCTAGGTAAGAGCGAGAGCAGGTTGAGTTCCTAATATAGTGGTCCATTATTCTCAGCATATTACCAAGACCCCATGATCATCTATCATGGTGTGGAAGAAGCACAAGATAGCACTGCTGCAGAGTCAGAGGAGAGAAAAATCCAGCAGCCTATTTAAAGAGATTACATAATTGATCAGATTACTGGAATGCACCGGTTAATTAGCAAAACATGTAAATTATCACAGTGATTTCCTGGACTGAGTCACAATTGAATATCAGCCACTTTTTGGAGACTCAAATTGACATTATATGATTAGGGATGTAGTAATCTAATATGCTGGATTGGTACAATTTCCAATAATGACTTCATGTGGCCAGATGTGCTATGACATGACAAATCTGGTTTCATTGTTGGTGTCTGGGTTGCTATTATTACAAGTTCAGTAAGGTACAAAGATAATATCCACAGTGTGCACGATCATTTCCAAGTTCATTATTTAAAGGAAGTTGGAGATAAAATGAAAAATCAGTTGTTTAAAGAAAAAGGGTTTGACAAATCTGTCCTCATGTAGTTCACAGGAGCAGAACAGAGTGGTTCGAGCACAAAGATGATTTTTTGGGGGGTAAACTTGCATAGATTTGCCATTTTATTGTATTCGTAAACACACACACACACAAAAATCCCCAATCCTTGTTCACGTAGCAGTAAAATTCATAGATAAAAGAACAATCCTTTGTTTTTTTAAATTCTTGTCCTCAAACGTTAATTGCCTTGCCCAGTGTGGCATATGTGCATGGACTCCTAAAGCGAAAACCTTTCTTATTCAGCGCGTCCACGGTCACAGCACATTGTGACATTGCACTGAAAGAAAAGATGACACGCTCTTTAGAGGCTCTTCCCCTTGAGAGTGAGGCCATAAAAGAAGAGGCTAGCTACGCAAGAACAAACATTTCCTTGTCCTCTGCTACATGACTGAACAGTAAGAGTGCAAGGGGAAGCGGGATCATATTTCAGAGCCGGACAATACGGGGCAGAGGCCAACCAGGAGGCACAAAGGGCTGACGCATTGGTTTTTCACCGAGTTTCTGTAAGTGCGAGCTGATGTGCGTTTGTCCCTGTATGACATGTTGGCATGTAAGTGGGCCAGATCAGGACGTGCACTATGTGTAACACTACATGACCTTTCTATTCTAGTCAACCAGACTCATCACTATACCCATTAGCCAGGCTGCTGCTCAATCAGCCTCACTCAGGGAATATTCAACACATCAAACTTGAGCCAGCTAATACCCTCTCAGGGCTGTCAATGCGACTGCTAAATGAATAAATCGACGCACAGTCACACACTTGCAAACGCCTGACACATGATAGAGCGCCACGGCTTTCTTTTTTGCTACAGAGATGGAAACGGCTCAAAATGAAGATTCGCACAAAAATTTGCCCTTTGATGGAATTTCGCCTTCTGCTGCTCGTCTTCACAGAAGAGCGCGCGCAAAAGCCAAGAATTCAAAACAAGACTTGCGTCCAAGTTCTCGCTGTAATTTATTGGACGTTAAGCTGCATGAATATTGAGTCACATTTGTGCATGTTTGTGCGAGTGCGTGTCATTGTTCCAGACACGCCACCTACCTTGACAGCAGTTGTGACTCCGTCCTCTGTAGTGCTCTGTCCATTCTGTCAAGACAAGCAGATGAGAAAAAGTCGGTCAGTGTGGATGTTAAGTGCATATATCACATGTGTCTGGATGGGTCTAAAGGAGGAAGAAGCGAGGCACGGCGATATTTGCAAGACTGTGTGGGCGGCAACAGTCCACTGTATCCAGCACTTTGCTCCTTCACTAGCAAACCTAATAATCTAAGGCCAACACACAATTGCATATCCTCTGTAGGTAAGTCTCACTGAAAAGGGTAATCATTGGTATTTGGAAAAGAATGATTCAATGGTAGCTATTGTGAAAATCAACATGCTGTTCCCGCAGAAGAAGTGAGTGACTAACTTTGAACATATGGTGGGATTTCAGACAGATTAGTTGATTAGATGTGGATCTTATTCCACTGCAAACAAAGATAAAAAAAAAAAAGAGAGACAGAAAAAGCCACAGCAGAACGATAACAAGAGGAGAGTGATGAGTGATGTAATTTTTACATAGCAGGGGCTGCGATGATGTCAGTCCAAATCAGGATCATTGGTCAGAGAGGCCAGGCAGACGAAGACCGACTGTCTAGCTGGCTAAGAGCATTTAGACATTTAATAAGAGCTTGCATGAGGTTCAAACACCTCTTCAAAACACAGAATAGTGTGTTTAAACTCTTTCATCTTTATCTCAGGTATCCAGGCCTGAGGTGCACAACACCAGTCTAGAATTTGTTGCAACTGTATGCAAGTTTAATAACTGAACTGCATTAATATGCAAAGTTACGACTCATAACATCTTGACATTATGGCAATATCTACACAAATTTTTTTTTTTGCATTCTTTAATTTTTAACGAGACAGAAGAAGTCAGTGCAATTTAGCAAAAATGAAAGACCTGTATGAAATTGGTTATTATTTAAAACTGTTTTGATATAGCTTAAAACCCACAATAGGCACAAACTTCATTTTAATGGCATAAGCGATTAACGGTGCACACAAATGTGTCTCCTAGCTTCTGCATTTTGCATTAGAAGAGAAGGCTATCTCAAAGGCAAGTTCTGTTAAGTTCTGTTTAATGTGACACTGCACTGCTAGGTTCAAATAACCTGACCTCAGTTTCTTGCATGACCCCACTCTTTCATCAGATCCACCCTTCATGCTCAGGGCCTGTGTACTTTAAACTCTACTTTTTGAGATTCCTTATAACTGAATGCTTTCAGTGATTAAGGAAACACATGAGTGAGGACTTAAAAAAAAAAAAAACTCCCCACCCCATTTCCGCTTTATGCTTTGTTTTTCCCATTTCAGAATGAGACTGTTCACTTCCTTGATGCAGTCTTCCTCTTCCCTCATACTGTAGAAAACACAACAGGGAGTCAACACAATGACAAGCAATAAACAGAAAGGACGTAAATTGTATTGAAATGAACAATCCTGGGAGTTTCTTTCTATAGGTGCTTACTCTGATGATCATTTGACTTATTATCCAATGCCGAGCTGGTTTATAGACCAAAATGTAATTATGAACACAGAAAAGTCCCAAAAGATTTTGATCCACCATGAAATACCAGCTGGAAAGCATGTGATTGCTTGATGAACGACTTTCTTTTTTAACGTGACCATGATCTCAAACACAGTGCCAATGCAGTTACAGCATACCTGGAGATCAGTCATGGATTGGCCTCCCCAGAGCCCAGACCTCAACATTATTGAGGCAGTATGGGATCATCTTTACAGGCAATAGAAGAAAAGAGAGCCAACATCCAAAGGACAGTGTTGATATATCGCCTGGAGAACTATTCCCAAAGTCAACTTAAAGAAGTTACCAGAAAGCTTGTCTAAGAAAGTTCAGGCTGCGTTGAAGAATGACGGCAGTCATAACAAAGATTTACTCTCAAGTTTATTAGAATTGTGCAAACTGCTTATGTCTTATATACTGTATTTCCAAGTATGGTTACACATATTCACAAGTATCCTGGAAAAATATGAAAAAATTAGGGGTGACTCAGGACTTTTGCCCAATACTGTTTAAATACATTGTTTTGTTAACTGTAGACTTAAACAACATATATGTATACGTGCATAATTTAATGTTTGTCTGAATCAGGTCTCTCTTGTAAATGAGACATTAAATAAAGGCTAAATAAATATACCTGCTCAATAATATACCCATGTACATTAAATATTTATTTGACTTATTTATTAAATAAGAGGAAATAGAGAAAGAAATTGTAAAAGGTGACAAAACAGACAATTATTCCTTACACACTTCACTGTAAAGTACACCACTTACAGCTTTGTTTTACTTTTACTTATCTGTTCTGGCTGTTCCTGTATAGAAACGCTGAGTGCAGTAGGGGAAATTTCTTGTGTGTGCTGATTAATACAGCTTGATTTTAAGATACAGGCACAGGCAGCGACAGCAGAGCAGCTTTGCTACTCTCGTTTGCTGAAAGGAAAAAAAAAGGCCCTCTGACAAAAAGCACGCAGACTGTGGATTTAGTTTACTGTCGCTGTAATACCTCAGAACACATTCGCTCCCGTTCTGTAAGACTGGATGTGCCTGCCGACCGAATGAGATGGCTCATTTTCTGCTTTGAGTTTTATTCCAGTAGTACTTCTAAATTGCAGGGATAGTACAGCTCTCTACACCTCCAGGCATTTTTACAAGTTGGACTTTAATCATGATCAAGGGGGGGGAGATTTAATTTAGCCATACTGCACCACTCATAAAGATTTTAATAGCCGTAATGTGAGGGGATAGGGTAGAAAACTGAAAAATGGAAGCAATTTAATGGCGAAGTACGGTCAAAAGTTAGGCCCAGATGTGTTTAAGGAATGATAAAGGAAATCTTGAGGAAGTGCAGAGTCTGTTGGTGTAATAGACACCTCAGGCTACTTTGAAGGAACTCTCCCCGCCTTACTATACCCTCTGGTATTCCCTATGTCGGTGTGGCTAGCTTTGTTTGTACTAGGATTGGGGATTCTATTTGTGTGAATGTAACTGTGCAAGTTTGTGTCTGTGGTTCGCGTCGTCTTTCTGACGTTGCTGCTCAACACATTTCAACCTCATTAGCACTGCATGGCTGATCCAAGTGGCCCAGTTAATGGTGCTTTTTCCCCCCAGTGGGTTTCCTTAGTGAGAGCACAGGCATACAAAAAAGGGCATATAAATATGTTCAAAGTGTGCTGTTTAAATACGAACACAGAAGCAAAGAAAATGTGCAATGGGAGAAATTTTCAGACCACAAGCATGCTGTAAACAGATTTAAAGTAAACCAACGTGTTAAGCAAGTCTGAGCCAGACAGCAGAAATTCACATTTTTCTCACAGGACTCTGTATGATTAGGCAAATTAAAAAAATCTCAGAGCACTGGTGGTCTGTGTGAGTTTGACAGATAAGTCCACGTTTTACAGTGTGAGCAGTACGGCCCTGTAACTAGGCAACTAAGAAATACAATAACCACTTATTCTCTATGCCTGTAATACTATCTGAAAGAATTTCTCGTAATCTCATCAGTGAATATTGGCAGCTTCTGGTCAGTTCCAGAAAAAAGATAATAGGTGCTTCTCCTTTTTACTGTGTGCCAAGTAGTTCCTTTCAGAAGTCGGCAACCTTAAAAGGATAGAGAGTAGCACTACTGCCTACAGGTATGGCTGAGGCTGTGCAATGTACACTTCAGGCTTTAGTGACTTTAGATTAATATTTACCTCTAAAAACCAAAAAAGGTATTAGAACTCAATCTTTCTTTGAACCTATCAAGCTGAGGGTTATGTTATCACATGCCTTCCTCCACTCCCAGGTGCTCAGGTGTTCCACAGATCACACCCAGATTAGCTGCAGCTAAGCCCGCCAGTGCGAACACACACACACACACACACACACACACACACACAGAGCAAAGCATGAATGTGAAATGAACTTGTGCACACTCTCAAGAACCTGACAGCACACTGCTGACCACACCTTGCTGGGAAATAGCACACATTCCATCTATCAATCTTACTTATTTTAACCTCCTTCACCACATAAGCTTGTGGAATCCTGCTCTGTAAGCCACGGCATGAGAAGTTCTTATAAATAAACACGCATGTTTACATGTTAATTTTAAGCCAACAGATGTGGGCCCAGATCTGGACTGAAATACATTCTAACCCAACCTGGCCAGCTTGTACATGACAGCTTTCTACCACCATCTCACCGCACTTATGAGCTTTTAAACCTGAGCAGCCACAGAAGCGAAAGGGAAATATTGTGAACTTAAAAATTAAAAATTAAACAAAACAGAAGGTCGATGTGGAAAATATGTCGAATATGAGTGGAGGAATTTACTCATTTGGATCAGCGCAGTTTTTCCTCTATTTGAAATCCACAATTACTAAATACTGACATAAGCATGACTCAGAACTTTTGGTGGACCTGCCTCAACGTAGTAGTGACAGGGGCTCATGCAGGTGCTAGTGACTCAGCTGGGACAGCATGAGCATATTTGTTAAAGTGCCTTTATCAGGGATGAATCACTGAAGTTCATTCACAACAGATATGGCATAAAAGGTCTCAATCAAACACTTTTTTTCTCCCAAATCGCTCACTTCACACGTTTCTCTCTTGCTTGCTTTGTCGCAGAATAAAGCACAAAAGCGAATTTAACCGATTTCCATTCATGGCACGGTGATGAGCTCCAAACACAAGTACTTTTATTATGAGTGATGAAGGGAAAACAGACTTCCCATCAGTTGGTGTATCAGAGCACATCATTCTCTGTGTGGGTTTTTTTTTTCCCCTTTTCTTTTTTTTCTAAATCATCCAAAAGTGCGTATCTCTGTCTGTTCCATCTGCCCATATGACTCGCATGTTCACTGGCACGGCCTCCTGTCTAAAACTCAAGCTTTCTGCTCAATCAATCTGATCCCAAAGCTATTTGAAACCAAAGTGTGCAGCTGGTTGGTAGGTTGGTGGAGATAAATGGCAGAGATCCCATCCTGACTGGCAGTGTTTGTCTGATCTAACCAATTACAGATCTTGGATTTCAGTAACCAACGCTGAAATACAATTTAAAAAAAACAAATAAAATATAGATATACATATAAAATGTATATATATATCATATATCCTGATTTTTTACACACACACTTTTTTTTAAACCAGGAATTGCACAGATTTGATTCACAGAGTTGTAACTATAACACGTTCGAAAGGCAGGGCCCTTTCACAGCGTTAAACTTAGCACTCTTCACAGGCTCTGCACCACCATCTGTTCAGCTGTGAAATGCTACTCAGCCAACTCACATGCTGCAGAATACTGTCAATAGTGGAGCCTGCGTGAACAAACGATGTCAAGATGACTCCGTTTGAATGTTAACCAAAGACTTTTCTTTCCATTCATTATACTCTTAGACTCATATTTCTCTCCTCCAACAGTAACTGCCGTAACTGGATCTGTAGGGGGAGATGTTTCAATTTCCAAATCTTCATATTAACTGCAGGGGTCTAATTTGTGAAGACTTGTTAAGCTGTCTGGGATATTTCTTGAGTTATGGTTAGGTTCATAGAGCAAATTTAGACAATTTCACATTTTCTCTAACCAAGTTGAATTCCCACTATCACATCAGAATGATTATGCAGACTGAGAGGTAGAAAAATGAGCTTCATTTCTAAATGACAGATCTCGCAAAGCTGATTGAGGAGACTAGCAGTAGTGTGCACGAAGCTATTCATTGTAGAGATCAGGCACCTGAAACAGGAGCATCACATCACTTTACCCACTTAATTGCAGGGGTAATTAAAAAGAGCAAATCCATACAACCAGACAGCGCCTACTGTCAGTATTATTACTACAAGCCTGGTTTTGCTTTAAAACACAGCAAACTAGAGAGACTAGACTAGATTGCGGTCTGATTTTTTCCCCCTTCATAACCATAAATGTGGTAGCTTGCAAGCAGCACCTGAAGTGCTCATTAATAATAATGCAACAACACAATTACAGGAGGATGGGCAACACTGTGGCTACAAATCTCTCTCACTGTTTCCCTAATTCTATAAGTCCTGAAGTGAAATATGAGGGAAAAAAAATATTGCAAAGCATGCTGAACACTGATATGCATGCATTTGTGATTATATTGCTTTACATGCATCCTGGGTGTGTACCGTGCACTTTTTTTATAGCTTATTTTATACTGTGTGCACCTCCCTAGGACTTACAGATGGACACCAGATTGCATTCAAATCTGATAGCAGGCATCCTCCCTCGTGTAAGCAGGTTGTTTCTGTGCACTATGCCGGACAAATGTTTACAGTTTAACCTGCAACTCATTAGCATTAAATTACAAGAGTCAAACTTAGACTTGAAATCTATCACCCACCATAATCAGGCTGCAGCTTCTCTCATACCGCAAACAGCGATCTATAGAAGCCACTATAGAGGTGATAACAGTGAGAGAGTGTGAAGGTGAGCCTTTACACGACACGACAAACTGGTCTACCCTGTGGAGTTGAGCTTTGCAATTGAGTTGATCGTGAGCTTCAGTGACTGACTAGAAGGTGAATTAAACTGGGGGGGGGGTCTTTAAGCTACTTTTAGGGAAATTCAAAGCTCTCAAATGAACTGATAATAATGAAGCATTTTTCTATTGGTTAAGGGAGCCCGGCAAAGCTTTGGATTGGTTCTTTTACCCCTCCCAAAAACCTGAATATCAGTGAAAATTTTTGAATGGACAAGTCAGTCTGATTGCAAAACTTGTGTTACCCCAATTACAAATACACGTTTTATTGTGTAGATTGATAGATTATCATTTCTACAACAAGCCGGTGTCGCTTCTAAAAGGCGCCTATTAAGTCGTTTCAAGTAAGTTTACTCTCAATCACTTTTTATAGAAAGTGGTGACTGGTGAACACAGTGGATGTGGGGTTGTTTGTGAAAAAGCACACGCAAATGTTGGCTATTTTAATCTGAAAACAAAATGCGCAAAAACGCACAAAAAATCCGCCCAAGCCATGCACCCAGTGCCCACACTGTCACCTCTCTTTACCTCCGTTTCGAGCTGCACTAGTTCCATTGTGGGCCATGGCTCCGCGATTTGTGCAAGAGGCATTTTCGCCGGATTTTCAGTTTCCCCCTCAGCTGCTCAGGTGCGAATTTTGGTCAGTCCTGGTTCGTCCCAACCGCTGCTATCAAGTGCAGTTCCGAGAAGCTCCTCACTCAGGTCCCGAGTCCAGTCACAGGAGATTTATCAGCACTTTACTCTACACAGAGCGGAGGGGGACACACATACGGTCTCTGCAGTCAAGAGCTTTGCAAACAAACGTAATCCCCGTGATTTGACTTCGGCGACGATGGGTAACTCGTGCGTATTTGTTGAAAGTGATTATCCTGTTGGAAACAGCACAAACACACACCCAAAGCAAGCGTGTCCTTTCAGGTAAGCGCGTTGGCTTGCTCGGGATTTTGGTTTGACAAGCGGGAGAGAAGAGCGCAGAGAGCAACACTGATCCAAGCTCCTTTAATGAGGCTGTGCGAGAGTCTAATGCCACCTAAAGGAATTAGCCGGAGCCCGGGCTGTCCTTGCAATCGACGCCGTATCGGATCTTTATTTACGTCTTCCTGTGCGCTCGTGAATTCATCCAGTCAGAACGGCAAGACTTCTCTCTGTCCGCCAGCTTCCCAACGCTATGCGATACGCGCAGAGACCTCAGTGTGGCTCTGTAGTACGAGCGGGGATGCAACTCGAGCTGTTATTGGCAGGCTCCGGCAGGATTTTATCCAGCCCCCTTCTGGGCTTGTTCCGCCCAAGTCTGATCGCGCCATCATCTGGTAGAGAGTGAATCTGCAACTACGTAATGCGTACCGGGAGCCTGCTGCCGATGGAACGGCCTCCTTTCTTTGATGATGTGGTGCAGCAGGTGCATCAGAGGAGTAAAGATCCTTGGCCTTTCAAAGGGGAACCTTTAAATCACCATCAGCTAAAAGCATTGGAGGAATATTGGATTGCACAATATACTAATCACAGATGGACTTGCCAGCGCAGAGTCCAATAGAGTTCTCCTACCCAGAATGGCACTGCTTTCCTCAGCCAGGCCTCTCAATTTTTTAATTCAATGAAATTACATTTAGTGCACACTGGCTTTTGGACCTGCATCATCACTTCCTCTGGGTCTAAAAATGACATGCACCGTTGCAAACATTACATAACATTTGTGGTTACACAATGATGTAAAGAATTCAAGAGAAGGGAGCAGAAGAGACTAGAATCAAAGGTCGTGACCGGCGGTGTTTTATTCTTTCCGGACATTACTCTGATGCAGCATTCTCTTCATTGACAACAGCTCTTGTGAAGGTCCTTGTAATCTTCAGCGATATAATACAGCCCTCCACCCTCAACACTTCTCCGCTTCATTCACTGCTAAGTGGATTTTGCTCTTGGCCAGCTTTGGTTACTATTGGCAACTGGAGGGCATAAAAAACGCCTTGTGTTGTGGAT